CATCAGAATAGTGCATCCAATGCGGAATATCTGACCAACCAGAATAGATTTTGTCACAAAAGTTTATATGTTTAGACATAGCTAGAGCTAGAGCTCCCATAAGTATATTTCATTCAATTTGACAATAAGGTCCCTTCACTTCATAACAATGATATTCGGAACAATGTTCTCCAATTTTATATGTAACTAGCTGGCCCGGTCCGCGTTGCCGGCCCGTAGTTTTAGTCTTTAATGCAAATTTTGCATAGCATAATATTTCACAAATCTAGCTCATAAAGGTGAACAAATTTTAATATAAATATTGATTCGACTAAATAGAAATAAATAACTATGGAAGGAGGGCAAAATAATTTCTGAATAGTCAAAGTTAATTACGCTTTTGCACCCATTACCATAGCACCTCAAATTGTGCATTAGAGTCCCCAAAAAGTCTATGTTCTTGTTCATAGTAAAATTCAATGACGATTAAACAATACCAGCGTTGTTGTCCGCCATTCGGTAAACATCACTATAGATCGGCGGGCCTGGGGACTATATGGGGACTGTACCAAAATATTTACGTATGTTGACATTTTTCTGTAAGATGGTTCTCTACTCACAAAGTAGCCTAAATACAGCAAATAATGGCCAAATCAGGCCAAGACCACGGTCACAGCTGAAATCAGGGACACATTTATGTGAGGGTTATACCAAAACGTGGCCCAACCAATATTCTCTTGGGGGTTACAAATTCAATAGAAAACAAAATTTTCTTTTCTGACCACCAATTAGATGTGAAAGTGGACTTGGGGATACTCCAATGTGGGGACTTTACTTAAATAAATTCCTATGTGGCAATTATCTGTATGATGGTTCCCTACCCCAGGGTAGCATAAATACAATTTTTAGCCAAATCAATTAATGAATGTAGTCAAGACCAAAATGAGCCCTTCTCTGAAAATGTCAAACTTTATGCGAAGAGGTTCTCTACCTCCTTAGAAACAAAGATGCCAAATAATGGCCAAAATATTAAAAAAGTGACCAAGACACCAAAAATAGCTTAAATCATACGATGGTTATATAAATATGAAATCGGGTTGTACCCTTATCCGTGAGTTATGATCGATATCATGACCTGCAAAAGCGATTTAAGGTATCTTGAATGTTTGGGAAGAATTTCTGGAAGGATAGAAATCCTTTTCTTACTAAGAGTCCCATTCGCTCTACTATTTTCCACCCTTTATATTTGGTATTTTTCTGAATGTACATTGGACGGATTACTGTGACTGGAAAGAAGTAGTCCCACGCTTTGAAATGAGTCCCATTAGGCTTTTTCCGTAATTTTTGTTTGTTCAAATGTGTTCGCATCTTCCAGTTGAACCACGATGTCGACCATGGAGTTGAAAGGTAGATGTCAGTTAACATCGTATTTCCCACTTATTTCATTTTTTGGTGAAAATTTGTATATAGTGAAAAATTATTCTTTATTTTGTTCACAAAAAATTTACTGAATTCAATTAGATAATACAAATTGAAAAAAAAATTGACAAAAGAAGAATAACACATTGAAAAAATCTTCAACTTGTTCGCTGATTTTTTACAGCAAATGTTTAAAGATCCTTATATAGTTTGTCAATGGAATGTACTTCTATTCTAAAATTCGATTCCATTAAATTATTTCGACATCATCTATTCCGTTTCGCCGCCACATAATTCGGTACTACACTTCCATGTACCTCGCCATCAATTTCATTTCTCAAGAAATCAAGTCAATTAAATAAATTGGTATTAATATTTGAATTCAAAAATAAAATATAAAAAACACTACAAATGTACATTAGAAAAAAGTAAGTCAAAATGGGAAAAAATCATGCAAAATAAAACATTACTATTGTACATTTTAAAAGTCAAAATGAAAATGTTAATATATCACATTTTTACGCGATTTTTTCGGATATTATCCTTTTCGGAGAGGAGACAATTCCGAATTTGTATGAATTGTTAAAATCAGTCCAGCGGTTCTTAAGTTATAAGCGTAGTAACTAACTTTATTTTATATATATAGATAGATACAGATTAAAAAGTACTGACAACGACAGTTCCTCAGCCCCAAATAAATACTTAGAGGGGGATGGAAAGTCAACAGTATCTCGTGCAATAATTTTCAAACCGATATCTCCTCTATATTGGGAAATATAAGGAATTTAGATAAATCAAAATTAAAGTGGGCGTGGTCTATATTTTTTTCTTTAAAAACCTAACTCGGGGTATGACGAAAGTTTTTACAAAAAATTATGCAAATCGGTCCAGCCGTTTTCAACTGATTCCGTTACCAACAAACAACAATTGATTTTTATATATATAGATATAGAATAGATATTGTTACGTTCTTGGATTTTACTTAATCCCGTGTAGACGTTGTTTTATTTCCCAATACAGCTCGTACCAAATAAAACGCGGGTTCTTTCGGATTACGATTATTACAATGATTTTATTCACACAACTTTACTTTGCACTTTACTTTACTCGACGGTTTCAATTCGCGATCTGATTCACAACTGACTAACTGCCTTTCCATTTCCCCTATTTATATGAGCCTCGCCTGTCGCTACAGAAGTTTCTAGACGATCTGGTAACGCCTAGATTACGAACAATCTACCAATGCAACGAACACATACAAACTTACATTGAGTGAACAATAACAACAACACATACAAACTTACATTGAGTGAACAATAACAACAACACATACACAGGCGAGGGGGTAACAAAGAAAGAGGAATTAAGCGATCATCAATGATGACGTTTAACAAGAATTGTACGTCAGCAACAAAATAGAAAATGAAAGAGGAAATGGAAGGATGTAGAAAAATCTATACAGTAGTTGTTGTTGTGAAGTTATTCAAATAAACTGCGTAGTAGAAATTTACGTTACAATTCAAATTCTTAAATTAACGGAATTCATCTAAATTAACTTAAATCTAAAGTTATATTCGTAACATTGCCCCCCCGCTTAAGCCTGTTCGTCCCGAATAGGCACAGTTCCCGTTCCGTAGGGGGTCAGCCGCTCCAAATGTACAACTTTCATCTTCGACCTGGGACTGTCGCTCCTCTGGATGCGATAAACGACGTCATTTATTTTCGTGACAATCTTGTAGGGTCCTTCCCAGTGCGTTTGTAATTTGGGGCATAGTCCTTTCTTTCATTGTGGGTTGAACAATAATACCAGTTGCCCTTCTTGAAACCCATCGGTATTTGCCGCTCGATCGTACCTTGCCTTCATGCGGTTGCTAACCATTTTTATTCGATGTCGGACTGCATCGTGGACTTTACTAAAAGAGTTTTGACTGTCTTCATCTTGGTTCACATCGTCGTTTGGGGTAGCACCGAATATCAAATCGCCAGGTAGCTTTAATTCATTTCCGAACAGAACTTTGGCTGGGGTCCGGGATGTGGAATCATGAATGGCCGATCTATAAGCCAGTAAAAACTTGGGAATATGCTCATCCCAGTCTCGTTGGCCACTGTCCACCACTTTCCGTAGATGTTCTTCCAGGGTGCAATTGAATCTTTCCACCATGCCATCTGATTGTGGATGTAGGGGCGTCGTTCTGGTTTTCTTGATTCCGTAGGAGTCACACATTTCCTTGAAGATCGCTGATTCAAAATTCCTCCCTTGATCGGAATGAACCTCAGATGGAACACCATAGCGACAAATCCAATTTCTGCTGAACACACCCACAATTGTCCTGGCTTCTTGATTTGGGATAGCATAAACCTCTGGCCATTTACTGAAGTAATCCATGACCACTAAGACATACCGGTTCCCAGAGTCGCTTGTTGGGAACGGTCCAGCTACATCCATTGCGATTTTTTCAAAAGGGGCTCCTGAATTATACTGCTGCATGTAGCCTCGACTCTTCCGTGTTGGACCTTTAGCTCTTATGCACCTTTCACAATTGGCGATCCAGTCGGCAATGGATTTTTGACAGCCGACCCAGTAGAATCTCTGCTTTACCTTTTCAGCGGTTTTTGCTATGCCAAGATGTCCTCCACTTGGCCCATCGTGAAACTCCGACAAGACATCTCTTATTTTGGAGTCTGGGACGACGATCAAGTTCCGGTGAGATTTACCGTCCTCACTTTCCCATTTGCGATATAGGCAACCATCTATTATAAGTAGACTGTCCCACTGGGCCCAATAGGATTTTAAAAGAGGGCTTTCGGAGGTAATTTCTTTGCGACTAGGTCGTTTGCCCGCTTCTATGGCCGAAATTACTTTGCCCAGAATGGGATCTCTTCGTTGTTCCGTCGACCAATCTTCACCCGACTCAAATTGCAGTAGTCGGACATCAACGATATTCTCTTTATTCTCAGCCTTTGAGCAGTGCTTGCATTCTACTTTGCATGGCCGACGAGACAGGGCATCAGCATTACCGTGTTTTCCGCCTTTTCTGTGCTCGATTCTGAAGTCATAACTCTGGAGCCTCTCGATCCAACGGGCTAGTTGACCTTCCGGATTCTTAAACTGCAGCAACCATTAGAGAGCAGCGTGGTCGGTCCTCAGCAGGAAATGCTGGCCATATAGGTATTTGTGGAAGTGTTTAACGCACTCAAGGACAGCAAGCAGCTCTCTCCTCGTCACACAGTAATTCCTCTCAGGTTTCGACAATGTCCGGCTGTAGTACCCGATGACTTTTTCCTGTCCGTCGATTTCCTGGGAAAGGACGCCACCGATGCCGCACGCACTTGCGTCTGTGTCCAGGACAAACTTGCCGCCAGGTATAGGGTATGCCAAAATGGGGGCTCTGCATAGCATGTCTTTGAGCTTTCTGAATGCCTCCTCCTGGTCGTTGCCCCACTGAAACCTCTGGCCTTTTTGCGTCAAACGGTGTAGACAGGCGGCGATGTTGGCAAAATTTTGGACAAATCGACGGTAGTATGTGCAGAGACCCAGAAAGCTTCGCAGCTCATGGAGATTTCGGGGCTGCGGCCAATCTCTGACGGCTTGAATTTTCTCCTTATCCGTCGATATGCGTCACGTGGTGCCCCAGGAACTTCACCTCTCGTTGGAAGAGACTGCACTTCTTTGGGTTCAGCTTGAGGCCCTAAGACGAATGCTGCTGTAGAACATCCTTTAAGTTCTTGATGTGTTCGTCGAAGTTGCGTCCCATGACTATGATGTCATCCAGGTATATGAGGCACGACTTCCACTGCAGCCCTTTTAACACACGCTCCATCAGCCTTTCAAATGTAGCCGGGGCGTTGCAGAGTCCGAATGGCATGACATTGAACTGCCAGAGACCCCCATTTACGCCAAACGCTGTTTTCTCCTTATCTTTCTCGGCGATCTCTACTTGCCAGTACCCACTCTGCAGGTCGAGGGTGGAGAACCATGACGTCACGGCTAATGTGTCCAATGTGTCGTCGATTCTTGGGAGCGGATAGCTGTCTTTCTTGGTGACATCATTCAACTTTCTGTAGTCCACACAAAATCGGGTGCTTCCGTCTTTCTTCTTGACCAAGACCACTGGGGAGCACCATGGACTTGACGATGGTTCTATTACACCACTCTTTTCCATTTCACTTATCAGCTTCTGAACCTCGTCTCTTTTTGCCAGGGGAACACTTCTTGGAGGCTGTTTAATGGGTCTCGCGTCTGCTGTATTGATTTCATGCTTCACCACTGATGTTCTTCCTTGGTGCTCTTTTGTCAACGCAAAGGTAGAGGCATATTTCCATAATAGCTGCTTAGCCTTGTTCCTCTCGGAAGGTGATAATTGGTGTGTCCACTCTTTTATGTAGCCGTCGAGGTGCTTCTTCTCCATGGCAGCTGGCTTTTCGGTGCTAGTTTCCAAATTAACTACAGCTTCAGCTGGTGTGCATTGTCCAACATCGGAAAATTGGCAAATTTGCTCTTGCTTGTTTGACAGGTTCAAAACTCTAACAGGAATTAATCCGTCCTTGTTGCTTTTCACCAGGGCATTCGCTAATAGGATGTTACTGTTTCTGTTTTCTGCTGGTTCCACCACCCACAACTTCTCGGCTCCACAATCTCCATTCATTGGTACCCATATTATTGCTTCGGCACAGGGCGGTATTATCTCTGGATGGTCCGTGGTCAGACGTCTAATGGGTGTACTTTCATCGTAGCCCACGTTTAACGGAATTTCGACGTTAGACCAGGTCATCACACGTTCTTTCATATCCAGATTGATACCAAAGGCAATCATAAAATCTGCGCCTATTATCACTTCGTCTACGATATCGGCAACTATAAACTCGTAATTCTCCGATTTATTGGCAATAGTTAGTCTCAGGGTAATCTTGCCGTGTACTGCCGCGGGCTCCCCCGTTGCTGTGCGCAGTCTGACTCCATTAAGTTGCGTTATTTTTCCCTTTACCAGATCTGATCTTACGATGGACTTTGATGCGCCAGTATCTAACGTCAGAACTCGCTTATCACCATTGATGTACCCAGTTGTTGTTAGGTTGTGACTTTCCTGTTGTACTATTGCTATGGAGATTGTGGGGCCATCGTCGATGGGAGCCAGTTCATGCCCCGCTGGACTGGCTCGATTTAGTTTAACTGTGACTCATTGGTGGACTGTTGGGCCATTCTTCTACCATCTTTCGTTGGAGGTGGTGACGATGACCTGGATCGTTTGCGCTTAGCTCTGCATTCGCGCGCAATATGACCTGCTTTATCGCAGTTGTAGCATCTAACCCTGGGCTTAGTCATCCCAACTAACTTTGTCTCTTCTATTACCCGCCTCATGGCGTCTTCGATCGAGTTAACGAGAGATTTGGGTTCGCAACCTTCGGTCTCCAGTTGGCGAATCTTGTGGGTCTGGGGCTTAACAACTATTCTTGCCGTCTCTTGGGCAAGGGCAAACGACACAGTTTCGGAAAATGATGCTTTTGGTGACGCATATGTTGCATACTTAATCTCAGGGTCACGTATGCCATTCACAAAGGTTTCGATTTTCATACGGTCCAGCAATGGGTGATCCTCTCCTGGATACGTCATTAGCACCAAACGTTCCACCTCAGCTGCAAAGTCTTGTAACGTCTCGTCTGCCCTCTGTACTCTTCCCCTTAATTCCATAAGGTAGATGTTTCGTTTATGTTCGCCACCGTACTTACGTTCCAGTGCAGCAATAACATCTTCATAGTTGTTTCTACAAGCGACAGGAATACTCTGTATAACATCAGCAGCACTGCCCTTCAATGCCAGAAGTAGTGCAACCGCTTTGTCGCTGTCGTTCCACGAATTTCTAGAAGCCACTGTCTCGAACTGTAACTTGAAAACATTGAATGACGTAGAGCCGTCGAATACAGGAGGTTTGATTTTTAGTGTGTTATCAGGAACTCGCACCGGACCACCTTTGATTTCCAGTTCCGAAATTTTCTTCTCCAGATTTGTAACCCTATGGTCGTGGGACAGAAATTTCTCGTCAACCGACTGCACTTTCTTATCCAACTCTTTAATTTGGACCTCCACGGTTTCCACTCTCCTTCCAATAACTTCTGCAATGTACTCGAGTTTCTCGTTCGTTATTCTTGAATTTTCTTCGAACCTTCTGAAATTTTCCTCAAACATTTTGGCTAGCATTTCTCTGAAATCGTCACCCCTGGCAGCTACTGACGAGACTTCCCCACCGTTGGATTCGCCCATTTCCGATAAATCCACTTCAACCTTACTGTCAAACTCATTTGTATCGATGTTCATACCACGGCGCTCGAACTCATCCAACAGACGTTTTTGTAGTTCAGCCTTGTTGCCAGTAGAGGACAATTCCAATTTATTAAGTTCCTTCTTCAAGTCTTCCACTCGTAGATCCTTAAACTTCATCGTAGTATTATCGTAATCCCACTTTTGACACCAATTGTTACGTTCTTGGATTTTACTTAATCCCGTGTAGACGTTGTTTTATTTCCCAATACAGCTCGTACCAAATAAAACGCGGGTTCTTTCGGATAACGATTATTACAATGATTTTATTCACACAACTTTACTTTGCACTTTACTTTACTCGACGGTTTCAATTCGCGATCTGATTCACAACTGACTAACTGCCTTTCCATTTCCCCTATTTATATGAGCCTCGCCTGTCGCTACAGAAGTTTCTAGACGATCTGGTAACGCCTAGATTACGAACAATCTACCAATGCAACGAACACATACAAACTTACATTGAGTGAACAATAACAACAACACATACAAACTTACATTGAGTGAACAATAACAACAACACATACACAGGCGAGGGGGTAACAAAGAAAGAGGAATTAAGCGATCATCAATGATGACGTTTAACAAGAATTGTACGTCAGCAACAAAATAGAAAATGAAAGAGGAAATGGAAGGATGTAGATGTAGGACTGCGACGCGGGTTTTGATCAAGTCGCTTCTTTAAATGCTGGAGTGCTCTAACGATAGCCACTTGTGGTTTTCCAGCCAAACATAAAGTAATCAGACCATTACGCTTGAATTCCATCGCAAATAATATTTATACAATTTTAATAATTAATTTTTTTAAACAGTATAATGAGCTGTCACTGGAGTAATTTTAACAGGTGTCGGTCGAGTGGCTTAGAAATGACAACAGTCTGAATTTGAGGAATTAAATACCCGATACAAATCAAACTTGTTCCATGGTAATATTTAAATCTGGCTTATGTCTGGAGCGGACATAGACAATTGTGTTTTGTGTTTTCGCATTCTCAGGGAGAAAAAAATTCAGAATTTTTCGGACTATGTACAGATACATAGGTAGTAGTAAGAAACTAAATGAAGCTCTTCATCTTTTACTTAGGTCATAACTCAACAATTGAAAATAGCTAGGCCGATTTGACTTACATTTTCTTTCGGTTATATGTAATTACAGTGAGAAGGTTCTTACGGAAGAAAAATTTGAGAAAAACCACGATATTGAAAAAATCGATACTTGTTCTTTGATATGGGATTTTTTTTTTGTAGAACTGTTCTGAATTGACTTTTAGAAAGGAAAAATTAGATTAAAAACACGAAAATTCCTATAAAAATGCGATGCTATTTTTATTACTTGGACTGATTGTGGCAATTGCCCCGAATTCGGAAAAGTCAATATTTTCCAAAAACATACAATCTCGAAAAAACATAGATATTTGACGAAGCAGTTGTTCCTACTCAAACACCTGATTCGATTTTTCGGAAATATTGAATATTTTAATTTCATTCCATTCTTGAAATAATGTCCTGCAAACGTTTTGTCTCGGCATTTGATAGAAACCACGAGGTCATGCAAATCTCTATGCTTACGCCCTATGTCGAATCTGCCATTAATATGGTATGTGGAATTGAGATATGGATGTTGTTTTGGAAATGTGAATTATAATTGTGCGAAAAGTACTAAATAGTACAAAATTTGGAATTAGGTGAAGGAATAAAGCTGGTGGTCTCTGTTGCTATCTGGTGACGGGTTTACAATTACGTACTAAATTTGTACGAAAGATACTTAATGGTACTACATTTGGTATTGCGTGAAAGAAAAGGGTTGGAATCCCGAAATCTAATATTGAAGTCTTTGTTGGTATCTAGTGGTTGTTGTTCAATAATTGTACGAAAAGTACAAAGGAATACTAAAATTGGTATTGGGTGAAGGGATAGAGCTGGAATCCCGAAATTTGCTATTGCATTTCTGTGTTGGTGTCTGTTTTAATACATGAAGTTGATTTTCGAAATGCGGAAATATGTTTTTTAACGAAAACAACGAAATGGTACTAAATTTGTTATCGGGTGAATTGGTAAAGGGTGCTGTGTTACAATTATCGGTGTTATAACCTGGTTACCCAGTTATGCGACCAGATATTTCGGATACGAACTTCAAGTTTTATCCGGTTCTGAAAAATGGGTATAATTTGAAAGCAGATGGAAATCCCACCATACAATTGGGCATATGATGGGGTTGCTTGAACCGAATCCGGAGTAATGTACGAAAATTGCTTGTTTTGTACTGGAACTTTTCGAATAACCCCTAAAAATACGAAAATGGACTCATTATAGGGTATTAATATCCAAAAGCTACATTATAGCCTACACTCTTGCCTTTTCAAAATGGTGCTAAATTTAAAATCTCTTGTAATTTCGAAGATATTAGCGATAGCGATTTTCTCCTCTGGGGCATGTCCACCCCCCGTTACAACTTTATTAAATAGCCGGTCTTCTGACTTAGGTCAGAAACGAAATGGACAATATTGATCCACTCCTTTCAAACCTGAGGATATACATCTATTGGCAAAACCGACTGGTATTTTATTAGCATCTGTAATGTTATCCTTTTCTGACAAAAGGCCATTTGAGATTGGTGATAATTGTCAAAATCCGTAAATTTCCTTCTTTGATATATGACATTGTACATATTTATCTATATAGGCGATATTATAGCACCAGAAGTGGCCTATTCGTGTATTTGTGATTTCGCTGGAATTAAAAATATTTGTTTTTTAATGGAAATTTTCGAATTTTTTACATAAAAGTTATGGTCTATTCCACCCGTTTAATATTATTCGGTGACAATCCACAACGGTCCGGTCCTAAACTCTTGCCCCATGCCAAATTCCAAGTCGATGGATCTGTAATATTACCTCTAGAGCAATTGCAAAACAAGAAATGTTTCGGTTCATGGTCTATATTTCCTATCATCTTCAAAAACAATAGGCTTCTTTTCGTGACTTAGCCACGCCGCTAAATTCAATTATTTATCATGCATAGTGAGTACTTTGAAGAAATGGGTTTTAAAGACTACAGCAACATCCCACAAAAACAAAAACAAAAAAAAAACAAGTAAAGAAGGTCTTAAAGTCGGGCGGGGCCGACTTTATGATACCCTACACCACTTTGCTAATTTAGAAGAGCTCCGCATAACAATTAAAAGTTTTTATGAGAGAATTCACTCATACACGCTATGATTATAATTATAATTTAAAGTTCGAAGGACTAAATATGCAGAAGCATTTGGACTTGTATTGCCCATTCGGTGCACAATTAATTTGAAATCGGATAAAGATATATATGGGAGCTATATCCAAATCGGAACCGATCTCGATAAAATTTGGCAAAGATATTTCTGAGCTGTATTTGATATATTTCCCTGAATAACGTTGTTACGAAGTGCATATTATGGCTGTGGGTAACAAATATAACAAATCGGATGAACAGTATATATGGGAGCTATAGCTATATCTGAACCGATCTTCACCAAATTTGACATACTATCTTCTACTTTCAATTCGGTCGTAAGTGCCAAATTCTATCCCATTCGGGCAAATATTAGACTTTTGGTGTACAATAAAAGGTAAATCGGACGAAGTTATATATGGGAGCTATATCCAAATCTGAACCGATCTCGATAAAATTTAGCAAATGTATTTCTGAGCTGTATCTAATATATTTCCCCAAATATTGTTGTTACAGAGTGCATATTACGGCTGCGGGGGGACAAAAATAACAAATCGGATGAACAATATATATGGGAGCTATAGCTATATCTGAACCGATTTCGATAAAATTTGGCATACTTATTTTCAGGCCTAATTTGGTTGTATGTGCAAAATTCCATACTATTCGGGCTGATATTACACGTTTGGTGGCTAATTAAAGGCAAATCGGACGAAGATATATATGGGAGCTATATCTAAATTTTGACCGATTATCTCCAATTTCAATAGGGTTCGTCCTTGGGCCAAACAAATGATTTGTACAAAATTTCATCTGTATAGGGCAATAAATGCGAACTGTACTTTGTTTACAAAAATACATGGACAGACGGACAGACGGACGGACGGACAGACGGACGGACGGACGTCGTTGCAGTCTGTCCGTCTGTCCGTCCGTCCGTCCGTCCGTCCGTCCGTCCGTAAGTCCATGTATTTTTGTAAACAAAGTATAGGTCGCATTTATTGCCCGATCCAGATGAAATTTTGCACAGATCATTTGTTTGGCCCAAGGACGAACCCTATTGAAATTGGAGATAATCGGTAAAAATTTAGATATAGCTCCCATATATATCTTCGTCCGATTTGCCTTTTATTGTGCACCAAACGTGTAATATCAGCCCGAATTGTATGGAATTTTGCATATACTCCTAAATTAGGCCTGGAAATATGTATGCCAAATTTGATCGAAATCGGTTCAGATATAGCTATAGCTCCCATATATATTGTTCATCCGATTTGTTATTTTTATCCACCGCTGCCGTAATATGCACTCTGCAACAACAATATTTAGGGAAATATATCAAATACAGCTCAGAAATACATTTGCAAAATTTTATCGACATCGGTTCAGATTTGGATATAGCTCCCATATATAACTTCGTCCGATTTACCTTTTATTGTGCACCAAACGTCTAATATTTGTCCAAATGGGATGGAATTTGGCACTTACGACCGAATTGAGTCTAGAAGCTAGTATGTCAGATTTGGTGAAGATCGGGTCAGATATAGCTATAGCCTCCATATATATTATTCATCCGATTTGTTATATTTGTTACCCACAACCGTAATATGCACTCCGTAACAGCGATATTCAGGGAAATATATCAAATACAGCTCAGAAATATCTTTGCCAAATTTTATCGAGATCGGTTCAGATTTGGATATAGCTCCCATATATATATTTATCCGATTTCAAATTAATTGTGCACCAAATGGTCAATACAAGTCCGAATTTAAAAGATACAAATGCTTCGGCATGTTTAGTCCTTTGAACTTTAAATTATAATTATAATCATAGTGTGTATGTTTGAATTCTCCCATAAAAACTTTTAATTATTATGTGGAGCTCTACTAAATTAGCAAAGTGGTGTAGGGTATCATAAAGTCGGCCCCGCCCGACTTTAAGACTTTCTTTACTGTTTTTTTTTTTTTTGCAATATACAGATTTTTTCCGAAAGGAAATGACATAAGATATTATTTACATAATTCATTTTAATTTGAAAATTACATTATTCTAAAAAATAAACATTAAAAAAGTAAGGGCCAGCAACGCGGACAGAGTCAGCTACTAATAATTTATGTTTATAATAATCCATTCATATTTTTTCCACATACCCCACAACTTCATGCAGCTCTGTTCCAAGGGATTGGTCTTTGGTGTGGGGATGTTTCCTATCCCTTGTGTTCTTTTGGAAGTGAGTAAATTGGTTTCGCAGAAATACAGATAAAACTTAAAAATGAAAGAGCATAGTATTTGCCCCAAGGCGTAGATTCAATGGGATTATAATTACCCATATATTCTTTTAAATTCATATAATTGTGTTGAAAACATTCGCATTCTCAATAGTACG